CCCCCCTCCCTTCACACTGGCCCTTTCAGACAGCCGTCCATGGCATGCCTTCCGCAGGCGACTCAGCAGTGACAAAAAAGATCCCAGATATCGTTTTGATAAACTGGTGTATGTCCCAGACTACCCGGGGCAGGCAGTCGACCGGTGCTGTCATAGCGGCACAAGGTGTATAGCAGAGCGGTGGGCGATATTCCCATTTCGGCCTCGCATATATCATACCAGGGGGGCTGGGCCTGCCGAGAATTGCACGCCTCTTTGGCATATATGGACCAGAGAGGCATGAACGAGTCGATGGAGCTGCAGCCCCGATCCTGAACCTGTGCCCGTGGCCCGTGGCACCATTCAAGGCACTTGTGCATGGCGATTGACTTGCCAAGACTGTGTTGGAACGTCCACTGTAGTTGTTGCTTGACATATTTGTCTCGCATGCCTGGCGCATTCTTGAACTCCGTGGCGTGGCCGCCTTCTCTTGATGTCAACTGCTGTTTAGCCCGACACAAAAGCACAAGTGCATTCATGTCAATCAGTTGATGACTTATTGATAGCATCTTGTGATCGTCATTGTCATCGACAAACGAATCCTCTACCTCGAGCATGATCTCATTGACCTCTTGAAGTTCTTGGTCAAGAGCCTCGGGGTCGCCACCAGATAAGCGAGACACACCGACAGCTTTGAGGAGCTTGAAGAATCGCCGAGCTGAAGGCCCATCTAGCGCATCGATTTGCCCCTGAATCATGGCTTTTGCGGTGGTGATATGATGATTCCCACGAGCTGTGTGGGCATAGTTGATGAGATTTAGTCGATGCGCTTGGCTGGCACCACCCTTGGAAGACTGCGACAGACTGTATTGAAGATACAGATCAGAGGCCGTGGCATAATCTCCAACAATGCACGGGAGGTCGGCTGCTAACTTCTGCTGGAGCCGGCTTTCGTCGCATAACGAGAATTTGAGGGCTGGAGGGTCCTCTGGCGGCGTTGTGTCTGCGAATAGTCCCTCTGCGTCGTTGTCGGCGCACATGGCGCGAAAGGAAGTCGAAGTGTTGGTTTCGGTAACATCATCATAGTCTTCGTCATCGTCATCGTCACAGTTTCCAGAGTCTGAGCTGGCATTATACAGCTGGCCATACTTTCTGCAGCCCCATAGACCCAATCGGTAAACATATTGGCGCTTGCTGTAACTTCATTAAATAATTATGCTTCGGATGCTGACAAGGCGGGAGACTTACGTTGCGAAGAAGCCGTATTTCTTTTACACATGATTCTCATCAATTCTTCTAGTTCATGTAATTTGTATGAAT